ATTCAGACAAGTAAGGGAACAAAAGCTCCTGCTGCTCACTCAACTCTTTGTTCCAGCTGTCCAAACTAAAGGCTGTACTCTGAGCCAGACTATTTCCTCACATCCATTTCTTCTTTATGTATAATTTGGATAGAAAGAGGGAAGGATGAGCCTGGCCTTCATACTGGCACTCTTTTCTTACATAGGTACAATTCTTCTATAGCTAGCAAGCCAGATGAGTGGGAAAAAGAAACAACAACAACAACAACAAAAAAAAAAAAACCTGACTTTCATAACTGTAGCTTTTGTGGAGCAAAATGAGTGAAAATGAAGAATTATCTATTTCTGAGTAGTGGAAAAGTTGTATTGCTATGTCAGTTATAGAACTAGGAAAGCCTTCTGCAATATTCTATTACGCAGGCTACAGTCTGCCTCTGAACTGATCCATTCTTACCTGCAAGAAATCTTCCAGAAAACTGTGATCTTTCGTTTTTAAAATTCCGGTCTTGGAAAATACACTGCTATTACATGTTATGCCTTATTCATGACTACACTGAAAGTTCGATCTTGCTTTTAGGGTCTAGGAGACAAATTTATCCTTCTTAGTAGTACAGAGAGCATTTAGTAAAGCAAATGCTTTTCCTCCAGTGAGCAGAAGGAAAAAAGGAATAACTGGAAAAGGCCTCAGTGAATTGGAGCATCTCTAGGGAGATCTCCAAGCTTCAGTAAGCAGAGCTCAGGAAAGCTGGGATGAGGTTGATCTAATGAGTGCATCATGACCTAGTGAATCAATTGGCCATTCAAGCTGTGCTTTGCCTCTACAGCTGATTTGAACTGATTTGTTCTGCCAGTTTATGGATACAACTGAGTGATTTTCAGAACTCAACCTTGTTGTTTAAACTCTCCACAATTTCTCCCTAATTATGTCATCTCTAGTTCATCTTTATGGTTCTAACCTCAGTTCATGACTGTGTGCACTTTCTTTCCTTTGTGCAAAGAGCTTAGGTCCTTGTTCATGGCAGTTTGCATAACTGACTGTAAAACTAAGGGAGTTCTGAGTTAAAGACCAAGCTGAATTTTACTAAGGGATGGTGCTTAACAAATCATCCCTTGACTGCTGATAGCATGCCTTTGTTCAGCACATCTTCTGGACAAAGACACCCATAATAGAAATGAACTTTCTCAGTGAGGAAGAATTTTAAAGCTTCTCATCATAAACAGCACTTTGGTATGGGCTTGAGATGTATAGAAATACCAAGGGCATACCATGAATCCTTGTACTTAGACTGAGCTAACCTGCCAGTTCAGACGTAGATGCCAATCACTTGAGTTAGCTGTGCAGGATAAACATCTGAGAATTAAGTACAAGTGCTAAGGCACATCCTAATGTTTTTTCTTCAGACTTCAATTTCCACTGACTTCCAGTAAAACTGTAAGATTTTTTTATGGCCACTTGCTTACTGAAATCTAAACAAAACTAAACTGTCTTGTTAAAAAAAGGTCAGATTGAGAGCAGTATGTTCCAGAAGACATAAAAGCAACTAAAATCTGAACTCAGGATGGAAAATGAAATTAATTCCATCTTTGACTCTTTCAATACCCTTGTTAGAAACCTATAGCCAAGAGATTTTTAAAGCTCAATTTTGCATTTTTAGGGAAGGATATTTGGTGCTTCTTCTGGAAATTCACTGTGAGTTTTCTTATGTAACTTTTGCAGAATTTGCTACATCAGGACTAAATCAACTTATCATAGAATTTAGGTAGTGGTAGGGGTTTTTGTTTGGTTGGTTTGTTTTTAACCTTCTAAAGGCTTTCTGCAGGATTTTAAGGGCACAGAACACTTAAACTGTTTCTGACATGTATATTAATGTGAACTGTGTTTCTCATCATGAAATTATTTTCACTTAGCATACAAGAAGTAGAGAACATTGAAGAAGAAATTTTTGATTCTTAATGAGAATCAGTACAGTTATAAAGATAATCAGATTACTCAAAATGTTAATTACTCTAATTTGCTGCAGTCTGATACAAAACAAAGTTAGATATTGCTTCTCCCTTCTTGCCAGAAATATCACTGCTAAGTGTCTTTCTGAACTTTTTAAACATACTTACTTTTTGTATATTTCTAAAATCACTGTTTTCCACAAAACAAAGGGTGCCACTGAAAAGATACATACAATATATCTTGGCTGAATTCATAAGGAATGGAGAAAAGAAAAAAAAAATAAAATTATTGGTTTTCAAATCCTCTTTCTGTGTTTAAACCTACTCCAGCTCAATTCATACTGAATGCTAGTAACATCATGTAAATTTTGGATACAAACTTTGGTTTTGGAGTAAACACCCTAACTTAAGCATGTAGAAAAAGGCTGTCTGACTCCTGAAATTTTTCAGTCTACTTTTATTTATATATATGTATTTTAAAAATATTTAAAAAATAGTTTGTCTTTGTTTCAGTGTTAAGATGTGTAATCCATCCACTTAAATTGAGTTCTCGAGGATGTATTTGGTTTGTATAGCATACTCTTCACTAGTTTTTTTTTAGCTTCTTGCAGCTTCATAATACTGAAACATAAGGAGATGATGAGATAATTAAAGTTCCAGATAGGTAAAATGTTTAAATCATCAGTTTAACTTGGTTTGATATGCAGTTCTGCCACATGCTTGTAGGAGTTGGAGATCCAGGTCTGTCATTCACTAAAAACAATTTTGTTCCATAGTTCCTGGAAGTAAGGAATTGTTTCCATCCAGGAAGGACTGCCGCATGGATTGTAGGAGGGTGCTGCAGTCTACTGATATTCCTTCAAAGCTTTCAGAAAGGTTTTAAGAGCTGATTGTTGTGGAAATTTAAAACTTTTATGTCATCTTCTTGTAGATATGCATCATATTCTCCTTCCACTCCAGTCTGACTAGGGTGTGTTGTAACTCCATACCTGTGGTAATTAATGTGGAAGGACATGCTGCACTAGTTGCTGATAACGAGAGAGATGTCAGGAGGTTTAAGGAAGAGAAGACATTTAAGACGCTTTTACCTATGAAAACTGTTTGCAGAAGTGTCAGGAATATAAGCCTTTCCACATTTCAGTCTTTACATTACTTCAATATTAGTCATTTCAACCAAAAACTCACTGCTAAAAGTACAAGATTAATTCATTTTCAGGAGGTTGCAGTAATTCTAGTTGTGTGAAGGTGGGTTTTATGGTGGGAATGCTTCTTTCCTGAAGTTGGATTTTGATTGACAAACTCATTTGATGTGAAAATATCACATAGCCATCAGGTGGTTAAAAGCTTTCAGCTGTTTCTAGCCTTGCCTGAATTTGAACCAGTGACCTAAAGGCAAAAAGCTTTGTATCTCATTAGCAAAGCCCTCAGATATGCTGTGCACCCCTTCAGTTCAATTCAGTTCAATTTAAATTAAAAAAAAAAAAAAAAAAAATTAGCTGAGATATGAAACATAAGAGAAGCATTTTAAGTTTAATTTTCTATGTGTTTTTTCAAACATTGGGAAATGGAGAGAGTTTCAAAAGAGAGATGATTTAAAACAAATTAACATGTAGCCACTGCCATGACTGTTTAAATGTCAGAAAACTCTAATCTAAGCAGTGCTATTTCCAGCTGTGACTAAAGAAAAAGCAGGAAAAAAGCAGCTTTGCTTCTTTGCTGTTCTAACATATTTCTAATAATAAAGATCACTGTCTTTGAACTCTCCCAACCTTACTCTGTTCTCCTTTGCTAAAGCCATTAAAATGATTAGAACCTCAAGCAGGGTTACAGTGTTAAAATGCTTGACTTTTCCCTTTCTACAAACAGAACCAGCTTGTTTTAAATGTGGCACACATAACAGTAATCTAGTCTAACTCTTCTATCAGTCCAGCTAAATTTCTTCAACAGATTTGCCCAAAATTGTGTTGAAAAACATAAATCACTGGATTAAACTTGTAGAGAATGATGAAAGCTGAATTTGTGTATATACATGTGGTGGTACAAATGGACTCTTTTATTGTTTAACCTGAGTGAAAGCAATAAATTTGAAGCAGGTTTAACTGATGATATTGGTAATCCACAACAGATTTCATAAATGTTGTTGAATGAACTTTTTTTTGTTGTTGTTGAGTAATCTCTGAGATTAAAGAAGGGACAGATAACCCAGTCAGTTGAAATTCACATTATTTTCTTGTTTAAGTTTTGATTTGAATGAAAACTGTAACAATAATTGCTTTTTTTATATATTCATTAATAGAATACTTGAATTAAATCCTTATTAAGCATCTTGAAAGCCAATATGAATCCACTCCACAACAGACATTCTCAAGAGCAGAGAACATTCTCACTGAAGTTAGCTTAAACTCCACTTAAATGTAGAAGTTAAATACAGATTGTTAATTTTTAGGGGTTTTTGCAGACTGTGTTAATTCCCCCTTTGGACTGTAAGGGAACATGATTCTCCTGTAATTTATTCTGCCCTATAATTTAGGAAGCTCTTTCTTGGCAATTATGTGAAAGCAATATTTAGCTGCAGGGAACCTTTACAGTGATTTGAATTTTCCAGATAAGAAGGACTTCAGCGTAAGCAGTTGTGGGTGTGTGCTGACACAGGCATCATTACTACCTTTGTCTCCATTTGATAATGATGGAACACGCCATACAAATCTATGGCAACAGTGTGCTTAAGGAGAATATTTCATGAGTGGTAAAAAATTATACTGAAGAATAAGTAATTATTATATCAATGCATTACTGATATAACCTAACTGGACTAAAACATTCAAACTGAAATCCTTGAAAAATAATGTTTCAGACTTGACCCTGCTGAAATCAGTTAAAATCAGAAGCAGGATTTGCAATAGCTGTAGTAGAGCTAGGAGCTCCTAAGTCTTCTGCTTGGCGCAATTTGAGTGAGAGGTGAAGAAATTTAGAGTCAACCTTGCAGAAGTTTAAGAAGCTGATTTTGTGAAGGTACTGTTTTGACGTTCATATCCTTCTCGTCATGCTTTGTTGTTTTTTTTTCTTTTATATTTTAGACCAACTCATTTGGCTCCCACATCTAGAAAGATGGGCTGGTATGTAAGCTGTGAAATGAGCAAGGCAGACTGACAACTAGTAAAGCACACATGGATATATATATACATATTCTTACACAGTGCAGGAAAATGAGGAAAAAGATTTACAAACATTGAAATTTTAGTAAGTATTGCATCATGTATTCTAAGTATTGCTTAAAAAAAAACACTTGAGTATAGTCATTCCTGTGCTTCTTATCAAATGTTTTTGATGATTTAGATTTAACACATTTGGATATTTAGATATGTGTTTGTTTGTCAGGGAGAAAAAACACTCAGCTAAATTCTTCTCTGATACTGATTGAGCGAGACGTTTAATTGTCTGCTTAATTTAAAGTATCCAAGTTATCTTATCTAGAAAAATGAATCATCACATGGTTTAAGTTACCCAGGTGCTTAAATGGCTGCATGAACTCAGTGATATCTATGTCACACAATATTTCCAATGTCATTGGTGTTTCTCAAATTTTACCTGCCTGTCACTAGGAATAGTTTGCCCCATGCTGTGTTTTTTCCCGCAGTGTATGTTTTAATTCCTGAACCACACTCTCCACATTAAACTTTTCTCTATGACAATTCCAGTAACATTTTCTAATCACAAAATAATATTTACCATCTTCCCTCATGTGGTTTTCAGAACAGAGGGAGCTGCTGCAGTTCTGTAGAGGTCGTGAACCTGGTTGATGAAGCACAGATGAATATAAAGTATTCTACTGAGCTTAACGGGCTTTATTAATGTGCAGATTCAATACACATTTTTATTTAAATTCATCTGAAGGCTAAAAGACAGATATTTCAATTGTTATTTTGCATTTAGTTTTGTGAAATTAGTTTTGCATGTTTTTAAAATAGAAGTGTGATTAGATATCTACAAATTACTTTCCATTAATTACAGTCACCGCACCTAATAGTGCTTTTGGACTTTTAATGGAAGAATCAACCAGCAATTTAATTTGAAATAGATTTGAACAAGGTTCTTTCTATAAAGTAGAACTGCTTCTTGTCCCTAATCCATACATTCAATCTCAGTGCTGACTAAGACGCAGACTTTATATTTCTTTTTTTTTTAAAGGTCAAAAAAATTTTTTTTTCCTTATTTTCTGCCTCTCTTCTTTAATAGGTTTCTATCCATAAATAGGAATATAGCATCAAACCACTGGCACTAAGTAAAGCATTTTCAAAAGGCTTAAGTCATCTCTTCTGAGCTTTAGTCACGTTCATACCTGATTTGAGACTAGTTTTTAATGATACTGAATGAAATAAAGATTTAAACAAGTGCTCATTGAGATTTTTTTTCAAAAATGTATGTCAATTACAATGAAATATATGCCTTAATTCAAGTGGTAGTTCTGTAAATTCTTGTATTATTTTATATGCATACATTAAGCATCTAAGTCATTGAAGTCTTTGGCACATACTTCCTTTGCAGAACTGCTGGGTGAGATGCTATCATGTTCCACCCTTCTCTCTTTCCCCACTGCTGAAGATTACTGCTCCCACTGGAGAGCTGGCAGATTGAGACACACACCCACATCTCAGTCATGTCAGTAAAAAGTCTGAGGCCTTTAGTTTAAATTGCTGACTGAGGCATCCATCTAAGCTCCAGGACTTTGCATTTAAGCAGCTGAGAAGCACGTATGCATTCCATTCCCCATATTCAGCAGAGGGGAAAAACAGATAGTGGGAGAAAGTATCTGGTAATTTTCTTATGTTAACTCTGTTGCAGCCTATTGGTATATGTCCTTAGTCATCTAAATTCCCATTTTCAAATATGTCCTAGGCATTCCTAAGAGGTTGGTTCTTAATGTATTTAGGTGATGAAATTATAGCAGGTTGTTGCCAAAGAGTGGCATGTTACAGTTTGTACTGGTAAAAACACAGCTGAATAGGCGTTGGCTGCCATTTCTCTCCTAGTATTCAATCTTAGAAAGAAATGGAGCGTTGCTTCCTGAAAGGTTGTAGTAAGATGCCCACTGAGCAACTCTGCAGATGCCAACTCTGCCATCTGGCACAGTCCTACGTGCTTCATGCCAGCAAGATATCCCAGACACCAGCTAAAATGAAATGCATACAGCATTCCACAACTCTCTATTTATCAGTAAAGAAAAGATATGTATGCCAATAGGATTAAGCTGTTGTTTCCATAATATAGAGGAGCCAGCCAAAATATTAATACTTCTGCTCTATGACTTCTGCTCCATTTTCTGGCACTGAAACTTCAGCTGCTTAGCAGCTTTACCAGTCCATTTTTCTGATCAGAGGGGCAAACTACCATTCATTTTTTCCTCACTATCTTCTCATTTGCACTGGACCTGTTGCTATTAAACAAACTTCATTTCAAAGCGTTTCATTTCACTGAAGCTTTATCTGCTCACATTTTAATTCTGTATTTGTGAACCCTTGACACAAACATCTGAATATTTGGGTTATAGGACTAAGATATTCAATTGCAGAAAAAGTTAGTGCAGCTTGAGGACTTTTAATCACATTTATGCTTTTTGATCCTGCAGTATTCTAATTATGAAGCATGTCAGACCTGTTCTTAGGCTGCTCTGGGGCACAAAGGAGTCATTGAATCAGCTTGAAGACTGCATAAGTGCAAAGTCACTCCTTCCCTCTAGTCGCGTCATCTTAGTTAGTTGTTAGGTTTTATAGGGAAATAAGGGAGTTTTTGTTGTGAAGGGTGGTTTTAGAAGAGCTTTGCATCAGTGTAGAAAAAAAACCTGTCCTTTGTTATTGGAACATCCAGCTTCATATCTGATCTTTGTTACACTGCTTCATACAATTCAAGAAAAAAGAGCAATTGCACCTTATTACATACAACCATTTCAAGAAAAAGCAATTATAGCAGGCTTTCCATCCTGTGAGGCTTTAAAAGACTGGATATGGCGAAATGACCTTATAGTTAAGTGAGAGAAAAAAGAGGCTGGCGTGGTAAGTACATTGAGCATGTTGGTGGGAGGCTCAGAGCCACCAGAAAGGCTAAATTTGACCTTAAGGGCCAATGTCTAGAGCACACATACTGTAGGCTTGCTGCTAAATTTACGCTGCTAAATAGTGACAGCAGATGCAAATAAGGCTGTTATAGAGTTATTACTCTACTCTTAATTGATAATATCTAATATGCTTCTGTGACTAGACACACAGAATTAGAAGAGTAAGAAGATCAACTCAAAGTTCTCTTGAGAAATTTTGTTTCATACCAGCCCGCAGGTCCCCATAGATGGGAGACATCTAGAGGTGCTGAAATAACTGGTTAATGAATTGGCCTCATTCTGCCCAGTGAACTGGCCTTTCTCCATCACCTTTGAAAGATTATGGAGATCAGGGAAATCCCCTGAGAGAGACAAAAGCTATATCCATCTTCAAATATGGCAGGAAAGACAACCCAGAAAGCCAAACTATAGGTTGGTGATCCTAAATTCAGGTGTTGGAAAAATCACAAAGTGACCTTAGAAAAAATTTCTGGGCACAAGAAAGAGAAGAAGGTGATAGGGAGTAATAAACAGATATTTTAAAAAAGGTAAACCATCCGTTTACCAACCTGATTGACCTCTACCTGATGAAATTAGTAGAGCTGTAGGTGGAGATGAGGGAGGGAGGAAGAATGAGTATAATCTACAATGATCTTAGCAAGGGTTTCAACACAAGTTCTCTTGTATCCATGTTGGGACATCACATTTAGGATGGAAAAATAAAACCAAAAAAAAAAACAACTGACTGAATCATCTACTTCAAAAAAGAATGGCTTATGTTTTCTGCTCTACTTTGAAAGCGTAGCTCCTCTGCAATCTATACCGGGTCATCTCCTGTTTCATATCTTTATCAGTGAGCTGGAGGAAGAGACACTCATCAATTTTGCACACCTAAGAACCTAGACTAGGAACTGGGACAATGAGAGTTAATTTCAGCAGGAAGTTTAAAGCCCTGCACCTGGGAAGAAATTACACCCTTGTCTCAGTACAGGCTGAGGACTGCTCTACAGCAGTTTTGCTGGAAGGGACCTGCAGGTTTTGTTGGTCAATATGCTACACCTGTTGCATCATCTGTCCTGGCAGTGATGAGAACTAACAGCATAAAGTGGGTGTATCACCAGGAGCATAGCTAGAAGGTCAAATGAAGTGATTATTCTCCTTTAGGCTATCTCCAGTTTTGTATACTCTCCCTCCTGTATGGGAAGAACATCAGTTAACTGTCAAATCCATTGGCCAACAAGATAGTCAATGGCTGGAACACTTGGCTAATGAAGAAAAGCTGAGGGACGGGCTTTGTTCACGCTGGAGAATGGATGACTCCAATGGGACCTAACAGCCCTCCAATACCTGCAATGAAGATACAGAAAAGAGATCAACAAGCTCTTTAGTGAGGTGTGCTGCTGGAGCATGAGAAATAACAGTCATAATTAGGCATGGAGAAGGTTCTGGCTAGATGCAAGTATTTGTTTTGTGTTTTGTTCTCCTGATAATATGATTTTTATTTATTTTTCCTAATGCAACAGGTGAAGCTGTTTAGAACAGGCGGTCCTGGAATTATGTGATGTGTTGGTAGAATTCGGTGTTAGATGATCCTCTGTCCAGCACTTGATCATACATGGACTATGATGAGGGGGGTAGGATTCAAATTAGTGCGTTGGCTGGAATATAAATTATGTAAGAGCACAGGCTGGCTCATGTGCCAGATGGGTCAGATAGATTACACTTCATTAGCCACCTGGGTCAGGTATCCTGGTAGCGATCAATTCATAGCTGCAATAGTTATGGGTAGAAGTTGAATTCACAGTGGAATGAACATATTATGTTGCAGTGTCTTTGCCTTAGTCAGCTGAATTCAGACCTGTAGCAGTTCATTCTACTATACTAGAAAACACTGATAGGTGACTTAGCATTGTGCATTAAATAAAGCTGTTAGGCAAGTGCAGATGCTGTGGTTTGGAGCACTGTGTCCTTTTCCACCCAGATTTTGAGATATCTGAGTTCAGGAGGAAAATGAGGGAAGGAAAAGTATTAATTGTTGTCCCATTCAGATTCTGTAATGC